TATATAAGCAGATCTGAGCTGTTGAAACCAGTCTGACAAAGCAAGGAGAGAAATTTCTGTGATCATCAACTTAACCAAGTGATCTCTCCCTTGGTCAAAGACAGTGGGAGCATTGGAAGAGAGAGATTGCAGGGAGGAGTAGAGAAGTTGTGGAGGAAGCAGAGAGTAAGGCTGTGGAAGGTACCATTTCCTACAAGTCTTTGCAGGTGCCCTGAAATCTGCAAGAAGGCAGAATTGAATGGAGAAGACCAGGACGGTAATCTACAGGAGGAAATCTGAGTGTTACAGCAAAACAAGTAGGAGAAAGAGAAGTGGATACTGAGCCAGAGAAAAGGTTAGGAGCAGGGCCCTTGGGGAATCACTGAATGACGGTTATCGTCTGTGCCTGGCACTTATGTGCTGTTGTGTTTTAACGGCCAGGTGACAGGAAAAACAATAACTAATACTTTACAGTACTTTCCAGTTTACAAAGAAATTTTACATACATGGAGTCATTGAGTCACAAGAATTCTGTGAGATAAGGTAGGATATTAGAAACTAATATTTATTGAACATCTTCTATGTGCCCAGTACTAGCTGGGAATAAAGAAATTAAAGTTCAGAGATCAAGTGGCTTTCCCATAATTACATACAGCTGTAATCTAAACCCAAGTTCTCTAAACCCAAATGTCATGCTTTCTCCTCTATACTGGCTGACTTCCATTATAAGTTACCAGCCCTCTTTTCCTGCTCAAGACTCACCCTCAAGTCATCCCAAAAACCTAACACTGTTTCTTCGAAAAATGTTAATTTTTCAAAGAGAACAAAAAACAACTCAACATTGTTTCTTTCTTTTCAGCCATATTGCATATATCTCTGAATCTACAATGAGTTTTAGGGATCAGTTTATTAGTGCTCTGTTTGTTCTCGCTGCTTTTTTACATTTTGAAACTTAGCCTTACATTTTCAAATTGCACATTAACCTATTAAAGGGTAATAAGCTTGGAAATATAAGTAAATCAATTTTTTCAAAGTTCCAATTCCTATTTTGATAGAAAGAGTTAAAGCAACCTTAAAAGGAGAAAAATGAAGTAGGCCTCATATATTCAAAATTAAACTTAATAAAAACTTAAATTTATTATGAATAATATTTTAGTTATACAAGCAAAACAAATAGGCTGAATTCAACTTACTTGGAGTTGGGCAGAGATGACTTCTTTCTGTTGAATGACTGACTCTGTGAGGCATTCTATTTTTTCTAGCAATCCGAGATTTGATAGCAGCAAACCTAGAAAGAGAAAAATAAGAAATTATCTAAATTCCCTAATGAAATTTGGGAAGTATATATTACTTTTGAGAAAAATAAGTGAAACAAATTAAATGAAACAGAAAAATAAAACGATAGGCTTTGAGTATGGTATCATCGTGAGTGCTGACTAATATTAAAGTAAAATTATTTCAATATGTGCTTTTCAACAGAATAGTAGTTAGAAAAGCAAACAAGTATGATGTAAGACTGGTATTAAAAGAGTAATAAAACACCATGTGGTATAACAAAGGGTGTTAGTTTCCTAGGGCTGCCATAACAAACTACCACAAACTTACTGACTTAAAGTAATAGCAATTTATTCTCTCACAGTTCTGGAGGTTAGATGTCTGGAATCAAGCGGCAGCAAGACCATGCTCCCTTTGATAGCTCTAGGGAAGAATCTCCCCTTGTCCCTTCCTAGCTTCTGCTGGTCCCAGCAATCCTGGACATGCCTTGGCTTGTAGCATCACTCCAGTCTCTGCCTCCGACATCACAAGGTCTTCTTCCCTGTGTGTGTCTCTGTGTGTCTTCTCCTCTTCTTATAAGCACACCAGTCATTGGATTTAGGGCTCAGCTTAATCCAGTATAGCCTCATCTTAACTAATTACATCTGCAAACGTCCTATTTTAAAATAATGTCACATGCTGAGGTTCTAGGGGATATGCATTTTGGGAGAGGTACACTATTCAGTTCACTACACAAGGAAAAAATTCTATCAGAAGAATTCATGACTTACTCTGGAAAAAACAATAGACTGGCAGGAGACATCAATGAACCCAAGTCAAGCTATTGAAGCATTTCCTTGGAGAAGGAGTTCACATATGGAAATGTAAACTGTTACAAAAATTTCCTTTGGGGATGACTACCTTTTGGGATATATGATGACAAGAAAACATTGAGTGAAAAAGTTGTTTACTGAGGAAAATTAAGTGGCCTATGAATGTTTTTGTTCCACAGCTGTACTTCACTTACATACTACTACTAAAAAGTTCATTTATTTAATGAATATTCATTGACTACCTACCTTGTGCCAGACATTATTCTAGAAGCTAATGATACAGGATGAACAAGGCAGACAAGGTCTCTGACCCCATGGAGAAGAGACAAAAATGAACAAATGTAAAAGCCAAGATGTATTAGTAGTAGTATGTTCTATAATGAAAACAAAGCCTCTAATAAAATGCTGTGTGGAAGTAGTGAGGGCAGACGTCCTTGTCTTGTTCCTGACTTTAAGGGCAAAACATTCAGTCTCTCACCGTTATATATAGTGTTGGCTATAGTTTTTTCATATACGTGCTTTATCGGGTTGAGGAATTTCTTTTCTTTCCTATTCTTAATTTACTAAGGGTTTTTTTTTTTTTTAAATCAGGTATGAGTGTTGAGTTTTTTTTCACCTATTAAGAGGATAATGTGGTTCTTCTTTCATATTTTTTTTATACTGCTTACATTTTTCAAATGTCAAGCCAAGGTTATTTTTCTAGTATAAACCCCACATGGTCATGATAAATTATCATAATTATTTAAAATTATTTATCATAATTAATCATGACTAAGCAGGGTTTATACCAGGACTATAATCTTGAATTAACATTTAAAAATGTCAAACAATGTTAAGGCCTATATATTATATATAAAATATATTTGCTAACATTTTTGCATCTGTGTACATGAAATGTTTGATCTGTAGTTTTCTTTTTGATGTACTGTCTTTTGTTTTGTTATTGAGGTAATGCTGACTCTATAATGTCCTGGGAAGTGTTTCTTTCTATTCTATTTTCTGAAAGAGTTTGTGAAAGATTCTCTAGGGAAGCCATCTGGAGTTGTCTTGGAGCTGTCTTCATGTGAAGGCTTTTAACTATAAATTTAATTTCTTTATTAGATATAGGATTATTCAGGTCATCCATTTCTTTCTAAGTGAGCCTTGGTAGATGTTATCATTTAAGAAATTTGTTCATTTCATCTATGTGGTTAGATTTAGGTCTGAAAAAATCTTTATTTACCTTCATTTTAGAGAGATATTTTCACTGGGTATAAAAGGCTTACCTAGGCTTAACAACTTCTTTTAAGCACTTTAAAGTTGTCATTTCTTATATTTTGGCTTGCAAGATTTCTGATATGAAGTTATTGGTTGTTCTTTTCTTTGCTCCTCTGTGTGTAACACGTGATGTTTCTTTTCATCCTTTGCACTTTTGAGATTTTTCTCTTTATTTCTGAGTTTCAGCAATTTGATTATGATGTGCCTTTGTATGGTTTCTTGATATTTCTGTTTCTTGGGATTCATTGAGCTTCTTAGTCTATGAGCTTGCAGCTTTCATCAAATTTGGAAAATTTTCAGCTATAATTATTTCTTCAAATATTTTTTCTGTCCCCTCTTCTGGGATACCAGTTACATGTATTTTACACCACTCGATATTTTCCCACAGCTCACTGAGGCTCTTTTTTTTAAATTTAATTTTCAGTCTTTTGTCTCTCTATTCCAATTTCTAAGAGTTTATATTGCTATACTTTCACATTCATGGGTCATTTCTTCTGAGGGTCTAATTTGCTGCTCTTCCCATACAGCACATACTTTTATAATTTCTGATTTATTTTTTATCTCTAGATGTTTATCTCTGACCTTTTGTATATCTTCCATTTCTTTCTCCATCATATTCGTGTTTCCTTTTGATACTTGAGTATATTTTATAAGACACATAATAGCTGCTTTAAAGTCCATATCTACTAATTCCATTGTATCATTTATGGATCTATTTATATTGCTTTATTTTTCTTTTAGTTATGGGTCATATTTTCTTGTTTATTTGCATGATTGGTGATTTTTGATGGGTGGACATTAAAAATGTTGTTACGTGCTGAATTTTGTTATATTCCTTTACATATCGTTGTCCTTTGTTCTAGTACACAGTTCAGTATTCTGTGAATCAGTCTGATACCTTCAAAGCTTGCTTTAAAGCTTTCTTATGGGTCTAGGAGAGCCTTTATCTGGGGGCTAATATGGATCCACTACTAAGGCATGACCCTTCTGAAGTCTAGTCAAAGTTAATTAAATTATGAAGTCTCTCCACTCTAGCTGGCAGGAGCACAAATAATTTCCAGCTCTGTGTGAACTTCGTGTGAGTTTTTTTTTTTTTTATTTCAGCATATTATGGGGGTACAGATGTTTAGGTTACGTATGCTGCCCTTGCCCCCCCCAAGTCCAAGTTTCAAATATGTCGGGTGGTGCGCATTGCACTCTTTGTGTATGCATATACCCGTCCCCTCCTCCCTCCTCCTCCCTCCCCCCTCCCCCCTGCCCAACATCCAATAGATGTTATTCTTATATGTGCACTTATGTGTTGATCACTTAATACCAATTTGATGGTGAGTACATGTGGTGCTTGTCTTTCCATTCTTGGGATACCTCACTTAGTAGAATGCGTTCCAGCTCTATCCAGGAGTATACAAGAGGTGCTATATCACCATTGTTTCTTAAAGCTGAATAGTACTCCATGGTATACATATACCACATTTTATTAATCCACTCGTGCATTGATGGGCACTTGGGTTGTTTCCACATCTTTGCAATTGTGAATTGTGCTGCTATAAACATTCGGGTGCGGGTGTCTTTCTTATACAGTATCATTTGCTCTTTTGGGTAGATGTCCAGTAAAGGGATTGCTGGATTGAATGGTACTTCTACTTGTATCTCTTTAAGGTATCTCCATATTGCTTTCCACAGAGGTTGCACTAGTTTGCAGTCCCACCAACAGTGCATGAGTGTTCCTGTCTCTCCGCATCCAAGCCGACATTTATTGTTTTGGGACTTTTTGATAAAGGCCAGTCTCACTGGAGATAAGTGATATCTCATTGTGGTTTTAATTTGCATTTCCCTGATGATTAGAGATATTGAGCATTTTTTTCATATGTTTTTTGGCCATTATTCTGTCTTCTTTTGAAAAGTTTCTGTTCATGTCCTTTGCCCACTTTTTGATAGGGTTGTTTGATTTTTTCTTGTTGATTTTCCCGAGTTCTAAGTAGATTCTGGTTATCAGTCCTTTATCGGATTTGTAGCATGCAAAAATTTTCTCCCATTCTGTAGGTTGTCTGTTTGCTCTTATGACAGTTTCTTTGGCTGTGCAGAAGCTTTTTAATTTGATCAGGTCCCAATTATTTATTTTGGTTGTTGCTGTGATTGCCTTTGGGGTCTTCTTCATAAATTCTTTGCCTAGGCCAATGTCTAGAAGAGTATTTCCAACATCTTCGTCTAGAATTCTAATAGTTTCACTCCTTAGGTTTAAATCTGTTACCCAGTGTGAGATGATTTTTGTGAAAGGTGAAAGGTGTGGATCCTGGTTCAGTCTTCTACATGTGGCTATCCGGTTTTCCCAGCACCATTTATTGAATAAGGATTCTTTTCCCCAGTGTATGTTTTTGTCTGCTTTGTCAAAGATTAGGTGGCTATATGAGGATGGTTTTATTCGTGTGAGTTTTTAAAAAAATCATTAGGATCTGATTTTACTCAGAGTAAACATTACTTTAGAAAATAACCTAATTTAATTTATGTCTTTTCTTACCTACTGATAAACCTTTGTCCTCCAAAATTGATATAAGCATTATTTCCTTTTTTATTCAACCATTTGCCTTTATATAACTTAAAACACAAATTATAAAAACAAAAATGGTTAGTGTCACTAAAGAAATGCAAATTCAATGACTGCGAAATACAACGCCATAATTATTAAGTTAAAAAGTAAAATGAAAAACCTTAATGCTTGGTCATTTTTTAATTCTCACATAGTCTTGCTGGCACCATAAATTGCAACGTGTTCTTGAAAAGTAGCTTTACATGCATAAGAAGAATCATAAAACTTATCGTATCCTTCCATTAGTAATCTGACTTTTGGTAATGTGTTCTTGACTTCCTTCTCATTCCTCTATTTCTCTGGTAAAATATAATCTAAAATGCCTCTGGGGAACATAATCCTCTCCCTTGCACTCCT